GCGTGTGCCCAGTCACTGTCGAGTGAAAAGCCGAACAACCCACCCACTGCAGCTGGAAGCCGGGACCCTGTCAGCCTGCGGGTGGGGGTTCGGGTGCAATAGCCAGCGAAGCTTCTGGAGGTCGGAGAATGTTCTGATTTTTCTCTGAGCAGGTGTGGACTTTTTGTGAGGCTGGAGAGCCGTACACTGCCCACCTGCACGAGCCTGAGGGAGCTTCGGGAAATTCGTGGCAACGTGGCATCAAAAGATAACGGATTTTCCCCATGATGATTTGCACACTCCCTCGTAGAGCACTCTATAAAAAGCGCTTGGTTTTATTTTTAAAGGTTCTGTTTGAGCCAAAGGATTTTCAGTTTGACTGGAAGCTCAAGGACAGGAGGGACTTCCCAGGTTGAATACTTGACATTTAACAATACTCTATTTACCTCTTGAGAGGCATTGTTATTAGCAGATTTCTATACGTCTTTGACATTTTAGAACACCCTTCATTTATTTTCCTTCTGCCTCTGTCATTTTTCCGAACCTTCTGTCTTCCTGTGTACCCCCTACCTCTTCCCCCAAGTTAACACTTGTCTGCCCTCACCCCTGGGAACCATCAAAGAATGCTTCTTTTACTGTGAAAACTTATTCGTGGCTTTTTATAATAGCGGTTCATATAATATTTGCCCTTCTGTGTGGGACTGATTCGGGAGAAAAACCAGGCTGTCTACTCCCATCAACAATTAGTCTTGAAAACTCACAGGGGCAGTTCTACCCTGTCTTACAGGGTCACCATGAGTCGGCACCGACTGGATGGCAGTGAGTTTCTTTTGGGGTTTTAAGGTGACCAGACGTCCCACTTTTGGCGGGATAGTCCAGAGTTTTAACAATTTTTCCCACATCCCGTGGCGTTTTTAAAAAGTCCCAATTTTTGGAAAGAATACAAGACAAGCTAGGGTATACAGTTTTCGGTTGCCATGTGGCTATTTCGCCAGGATATAAGTTTTATCAATGGTATCCAGCTTTACCAATGTTAAAATCTGGTCACCTTAGTTTGACCTATTAAACTCAGCATTATGTCCTCTAGGTCCATCCATATTTCACCAAAGTTTCAAATCGTCCCCATTCTTTTACCCCTTGTCTGATTTTTTCTATGGCCATGCTGTGTTTTGCAATAAAAGGTTTTCCATTATAGTAACAGTTTACTGCTGTGAATTTGTATATGTTCTGATAAGAAATATTCAAAATTATCTCCATTTGCCAAGCAGTCTGGAGCTAGAGGTTTGACATCCTGAACTAGTAATTTACAAGAAAGGCCAGTTTTGCCCTTCGGTGGCCACTAAGGAAATGGTGCCCTTCAGGGGTTCACATTCTCCATTCTCTTTATCCTCCTCCAACCGCCGTTTCGTTCTGCTTTAAAGATGGACAGTTTACAACTAGATTTTTGGTTGACTCAGCCTGAATGTTTTGCCTTCAAAATGGGATCCACTAATTTATAATCACCATTCTGGTTGCTTCTGTATAGTACGCAGTTTGTACTTTTGCTTATTTCTGTCATCAGTGATGCTAGTTCGGGTGCTTGGGGGAGTTGTTTGTTTCTCTCTCGTTGTTGTTGTTTGTTTGTTTTAATCGTTTTATTAGGGGCTCATACAACTCTTATCACAATCCATACATACATCAATTGTGTAAAGCACATCTGTACATTCATTGCCCTCATGTTGTTGTTGTTATTAGATGGTCCCTACACTATGAACAAGAGAGCAAAACCCTGCCAGGTCTTGCAGCATCCTCACAATGGTTTTTGTCTCTGAGTCCCTTGTTGCAGCTGCTGTATCATCTTGTGGAGGGCCCTCTACTGTATCGGAACCCTTCTGATTTGCAAAGCATAAGTCTATTGAACTAAGGATGACTGAAATAAACCCATACACAATGTCGACCCGTCAAATCATCTAGGGTCATTGACTCACTCACTCGCTCACTCACCGCCATCAAGTCAGATTCCAACTCATATGGACCCTATAGAACCCTGTGGGTTTCTCAGACTGTAACCCTAGAGGAACAGAAGCTTCATCCCCCACCCCCACCCCCAAGGGGCGCCTGATGGTTCAAACTGCTGACCTCGAGGGTAGCAGCCCAATGCATAACCCACTATGAGATCAGATCAGAAAGTGCCTCCCTCCCTCCACACACATGCCTCAGAGAGCAGGATTCAGTGGTTCCTTCCAGAGACTCTCCCAGGGCTTCCCCTCTGATCCAGGGATCCAGGCACAACCTTCCACAAACGTACATAGGCCTTTCACATTGGATCTCCCTTGGAATAAGAGTTCTAACTGCACTTCAGGAGAAATCGCCTGATTCTGCCTATTTTTCCTGGAAACTTGTCTGAATCCTCCCAGGCCCTCGGCGGTGGCACAGCTGGGTGCCAGTTCAGTGATTCAGCAGTCGGGAGGGGTGAGTGATACTCCTTTCTGTATTTTGTGCACGAAATGCCTTCTGCCACAGCTCCTAGCAAACATCGCAGATTGTCAAGAGCAAAGCGGCTCTAGAGGACATGCCTTTGTCCCACTTTCAGCTGCAGAGCAGTCCCTATAAGGGCTTATGGTGCCAGCTCCTCTCTGCCACCGTCCCATTTGCTTGACCGTTGTCAGCCATGTTACTTTGCTTCAATAACGTCCAGTTGTGGCATTTGGCCTGGGCATGCTATCCTTCCCTGCGGCATTTAAGGTCACTTTCTTACCTGGAAACTTCTCGGGTTCTGGTTCACAATTCTGTTAACTCTCAGGGCAGAAAGTAGTCTAAAACCAGCAATTTAAGTCATCACGGGATGATGCAGTAAACGCACCGGGTCCTCTGCTTGCTTCAAGGATGAAAGATCGCGTCCCATCCTCTCCCCTTTTAAAGTTTTCCTCCCTTGCTGGTGGACAGCAAGGACTGGAAGCACTTGCTGGTAGAGATCCAAGAAGGCAGCGTTCAGTGTGGACAACTCGATGTACAGACAGCCAAAATCCTCAGGACTGGCCCGACAGGCGACAAATGTGATCGGCGGGGAGAATACCGGAAGTTGCTTGGATCTACAATCAACGCTCACGGAAGCAGCAGCCAAGAGAGCAAGTGATTCATTGCACTGGGTCAATCTGCTGCACAGGGTCTCTTTTAAGTGCAGAAAACCAAGGATCTTACCTTGAGGACTAAGCTGCACCTGACCTAAGCCATGGTATTTGTCGCCTCACATGCCTGTGAAAGTTGCACATTGAATATGGGGGACCAGGGAAATGGTGCATCTGAATCTGGCAAAAGAATCCTCACGGTATCGCGGACTACTCGAAGAACAAATCGGCCTTAGCAGTACAGCCAGAATGCTCTTTACGATGGAGGATGGTGAGACTTTGTCTCGCATACTTTGGACTTGTTATCAGGAAAGCCCAGTCCCTGGAGGGGGCCATGCTTGGTAGGGAGGCAGTGAAAAAGAGGAAGGCCCTGGACAAGATGGGCAGACACAATGGCTGCAACAACGGGGTCACACATGAGGACGTGTGAGGACACATGTGCAGGGCCAGGCAGTGTTGTACATGGGGTTGCTGTGTGCTGGAATCGACTGGACAGCACCCAACACCCCCGACCCCTAGCTTGAATTGTGAAAGAGGAGGTGGCTTATCAAGGAAATGAGACTTCCATTCCACAGTTGCCTGGAGTCAGACTGCAATCCCTACCCGGTGCTGTCACTCATCCCGCTGTCTGGGCTTCCTCCTTCCTGTCCTCCTCTTCCCCAAACAATCCCTGCCTTCCGGACTCTGGATGTGTGCTACTCTTTTCATCTCAAGTGATGGACTGGCCCAGTTTTACATGTCTTTGTGTTATTGTCCCCCTTCTAGATCTGTTAATTGGCTGAAACTGACCTAGTGGGGCCAGTTGAGTTCGAGGTCAGAGAGCAAAGAAAGGGCTCTAGGCTCCAGAGCTCCACGGGCCTCTATCTGATCAGTAAGCCTGGTCCTTTCTCGGGTTTTGAGTTTGGGCTCACATTTTAGTCTCCCACTCTAACCAGGACCTTCTGATGTGATCCTTCTCAGGATAGTCTATCGTGGTAGCGGGCCGGGCACCATCTAGTCCTGCTGGTCTCAGGATCACGGAAGTGGAGGTTCCGTGGGCGCTAACCCACTGCACCAGTTACAGTGCATCGTTGTCTTCACTCTTCTTTGCTGCGAGGGGGAGAGACCAGTAATTGTAGCTTATGGGGTGCTCAATCCTACCCCTCACTCTAAACCACCTCTCCTTTCTTAGGCTTGTTTGGTCCTGCTTACCATGGTAAATAAGGGAAGAGGATTTTAAAACTCAACTGGAGAGAGATTTCTACATTGAAATCCGGGGCTGTGAAGGGTTTTTACTTTGTAAGGAAGTTTCCTTTTATATCACTTTTATGTTTAAATGCCGGCACACATGGAGCACAGAGAAGTGAAGCCCCACAGCTTCCCTGCTTGCACTTGTGAGGTAGGCCATCTGTTCTGGGGACGTCCTGGTGGACAGGCAGAATGGAGCGCACCATAGGAACTGGCAGTTTATGAGCAGAGCGAGTCCAAGGGAGGCCCCAGATGAAGGACGACTCCTTCCAGAGGAAGGCACTCCCGCAGGCCCTCCTGCCGTCGTCGTGTGACCACTGCAGCAGCACTGGGGGCCCACATCCTGATCACACAGCTGAACCCGCACCATCGAGGGCTGCCGAGTCAGAAGTGACCCGATGGCAGTGAGCTCAAATCTACCGGAGAGCCTGGTGGTACGGTGGTTTGAACCAGGTAGCTGTGGAGTGGGAGAAAGCCGTGGCAACAGGTCCGTAAAGATTACAGCCTCAAAAAAATAAAAATAAAAAAGATTACAGCCTCGGAAACTCAATGAGCAGGCTCAACTGACCCAAATGGCCAGTACGGATTGCATTTGACTGGAGGGCAATGGGTTTGGTTTTTGGTGCCGTTGTTAGAAGCCACTTTTGGGGTGGAGGAGCGGCGACAGAGAGCAGACACACACAGCACTTTAGCATTCCTATTTTTACTGTTCAGAGCGCCTCAGGGGAGGGCCAGCGTGTCTGCTCAGACTCCGCTTCACAAACTCTCGATTGGCCGATGAGGCCAGTAGGGGTACTTGGTCTTGTCTAACTTGGTTTCAGGGAAGACTTCGTTCAAGTCGTCAAGGGTCATCTGGTCAAAGGGAATGATGTTCCTCATTCTCACCACCTGGAGAGAGGGGAGAGGGGCTTAGCTAAGGCAGACGGGCCGCAGAGATGCACTCGAGGCACATCCTGCCACAAGGGGAAAGACCACAGACACAGGCAGGCAGACAGCTTACTCTGAGGGGCGAGCCCTGGCTCACACCTACCTGCTTCTCGTATTCCTCAATCCTGGTCTTGGAAAGAGACACAAACTCGGCACAGGTCTTGACCTTCAAGAGAAAGGAGGGATTTGGCTTTGAAACCAAGCTGTGCTGTCCTGACCCAGAGGTTCCCAAGGGAGGCGGAATTCCAGAGCCCTGGATGGTTACGGAGCCCAGCCGAAAGGTTCCAAGCTAGGAGTCCACCCTGAGGGTTGTCCTGAGTCAGCGTCAACTAGCCGGTAACCGGCTGGTTTAGAGAGTGCTTGGGGTGACTTTGTGGTGGAGTAACCTGTGGGTGCTGGAATTCACTTGTGAGTTCAAACTTTGACCTATGGGAGCAAGAACTTTCCGGGACCACTTTGTTCTTTGCCTCTGAAGGTGGGAGGGAGTGTGGGGTGGCAGTCCCCACTTTCCTATCATTGTTTATGTAAGAGCCTCCCTTTCCCTTCTGACAGGTTTCTGCCCTGCGGGGGGTCCAGCTCATGGAGGCTCTGCTGTTACTGCGCTTTGTTTTACACACGGAATCACGCCTGATGCTTCAGTCTTAAGTTGCACTCCGCCTCACTGCGCTGAAATCCATCCATGGTGCTTGCTGCATTTACAAAATAGCTCCTTCTTTTCTGTTGTTGCTGTTAACTCCTTAACTTTTCTATTGAATTCACTCCACTTTACCCTAGCTGCTAAGAAATACGGAGCTGTGTCAGGATTAAGAAAATTCTAGAATAAAGCAGGGCCTCAACTACTACTTACATCTTCTTTTTCTTCAGCATCCACCAGGGCAGTAAACTTGTCCTCTGGCACAGGGATCTTCAGGGCCTTAAACTGTGAACACAAAGGGCTGTGAGGGGTTGCTAGTATGCCCGGACACCATGCTTGCGTCACCAATGGGCTCCACCTATTAATCCTGGCAGTGTACACACACACACACACACACACACACACACAACACCATCCCAACAAGCAGCCGGGCTGTGTCAGGGTGTTAGAGGGGGACAGGAGTTCCTGTACTAACTAAAGTAGACCCTGGAAAATTCCTCTTCATGAGGAGTTTCGGTTTCTTAGTCTGAAAACAACAGCTGGACATATAATCTCAGAGATGACCTCTTAAACATTCATGGTTGTACAGGAATTCTGGGTTCTCTCTGACCAGAAACCCAATGAGGACTGAGTGGTGGCAGAAGAGAGCGGGGTGCTGCGGCCCCAGCATGCTTGCACTGTGCCCTGGCACACAGCAGGCCCACGACAAACCCCCACTGGAGAAATAAACAAATGATGGCTGGAGGCAGAGAGGTGCGTGACCACCCCGGTGGAGGTGGCTGAGAAATGAGAGCTACCAGGGACGTTAAAAAGGCGGGGGGGAGGATGGAAGCTTGTGTCAGAGGCAGGTGGAAGGCGACGCAGACTCAAGGAGCCGAGAGAAACAGACAGGCGGCAGCCCCTCTGGCTCTCCGACTGGGACTAAAGCCCGCTATGTCCTGAACAGAGCCTGGACCCTGCACTTACTGACACCCACCGCCCCGGCTCCGGCCACCTTACTTTTCCTGGGTTTCTGCTAGGGTCTCCATGATGACCCATCCTTCTTTCTCCGCTGTCAGCCTGCTACCCGTAACCATCTACCCTTCTCTTCCTTGTGAACGGGGGGTTCTGAGGTCTCACCTTCTTCTCGAAGTCGTCCACTAGGCCGGCCGTGGCCACGTTGGCCTTGTAGTAAGCCCAGTCGATAGCGGGAGGCGCCTCGGGGAGAACTGCCAACCTGCTCCCACAGAAAAGCAGAGGTCAGGGTTGTTCCGGGGGCAGCAGGAATTCACACAGAAGTGCCCGTTTCTTCTCAAACAACCACTCGATTTTCCTACCAGGTTTTTACCGTCATCAAAAGTGTCTTATTGGAGAAGAGATCGTTCACTGTGTTAATGGCGAGACGTGAGTAAGTCAAATGCGTGAATATTAAAATCCATTATTCAGGGGGGGAAGTGCCCGTTTCTCAGTCCTTTAGCCTAGAGCTGGCACCTCGCTTTTCTCTAGGACAGAGATCACGGAAATGCCACCAAAACCACCCCCACCCCCCACCCCCCGCCAAGAAACAAAATCCTTTTATTTGGAAAATGCGTTTGTTTTTCATACTTTCTGCTCAAAGCGTTATCAAAATCCATACAGAAACGCCAAGCACTCTTGTTCTCACACCTGGCGGCCACGAGGTGATGGCGGCTCCCTTTCCTGAAAGTACTGACCTGGAGGTGAGGGCCTCACTCCAGGCCTTCAGCGAGTTGGCAACAGCCTTTTGGTTTGGGGGTATGATCTCCCCAAAGGCTATCCAGTCGATGGCTTTTAGAGCGAGTTTCCGGCCAGCCATGGTGGGATCCTGGAAGATAATATTCCATCAGCTCAAAACAAAGGGTTCTTGGGAAGATTTCTGCCAGGAAAGGTTATCTCAGAAACTTGCAAAGTCTCTAAGAAATAGGTCCATGTCCTGGGAAATACTACTACTCGGAGGTGGGTGGTGGGTGCCTCGTACACATGGGTGTGAGGTGCCAGAACCAAGCAGGGTGGATACCAAAGCCTTAACCTGGATTATGAGACACGGCACAAACATTTTCAGTTGCCAATGGGGTTCTGAGTTTGTTTGTTTTTACCCTGAAAAAGGGGCAGAAATTAAAAAAGAAGAAGAAGAAGAAAATGGGGCAAGAGGTCGAGTAGGTTTGGAAACCTATAAAGGCATTATGGTTAGAAATTCAGAGACAACCAGCCGTGTTTAGATTTTCAAATTTAAGCTACACAACCGGCATACTGATACATTCCCTGTCACCCCTCTGCTACCCAATTCCTATGCACCCTTAAAAACCCCAATCTCGAGTTTTCACTCTTCAAGCATCTTTGGGAATACATTTAAAACAACTCCCATGCATTGCCTAAGAGTTAGTCCATTTAAATCCGTTTCCCTCCAGATCGTTGTACTCTGCGATTCTCTAGTGCTCCCTCCGCAGCTGCTACAAGGCGTGAACAGGGTGGACTGTGCCTGAATTTCCCCATCGGGAAACGAGGAGATTCTCAGCTCCTTCCTTCCTTCCAAAGGAAAACTTCGTGCATCTACTTGCCCGGCCAACTTCAAAGGCTCCCCGGCAGCGTGTCATCGGGTGGGGACTGGGATTCCAGGCCAAACGCACTGCACTGGAACTACCGGGCAGGGCCCAACTGCCCTCTGGGGGTGTCCGAGGCTGTACATCTCTACGGGAGTGGAAAGCCGCATCCCCCCCGCCCCGCAACAGTGCAGCCCGTGGTTTAGAGATGCCGACCTTTCGGTTAACAGC